AAATAGTGAAAGGAACATTTGTCACTTTGCAGGGCTGATTGGATTGAGAATATCCATTTATAGTCTTTGATTGAACAGTACATGTCTTGGCTTGTAGTTGCTAAATTCATTGATTGAATAGTAGATTGATTATGTACAGTGACCTTCCCACGGGCTTCTTATTTTGTCCATGGATGAATAGGGGAAGGTCACAAATCCTCCTCTATAAATATGATGATATTGGATAGAGGAGGGATCCAATTTTTCTCTCACTAAAGTTCATTCTTGAGATAGAGTAAGAAATATAATTCGGACTGAGGAGATTTACCCGGTCTAGGTCATATTTTGTGTTCTTGTTGTGTGTTTTATATTACGGGTCGAGTGTGTCCAGGTCAAACCCGGTTAACCCACCCCGCTATATTTACACCATCATTTTTGGCGCCCACCGTGGGGCCGATTTTTAAAGTTTTTTCGACCAGGTCAAAAATTTGCCCCCACTAAATATCCACAATCATGTCTTCGAGCAACTACAACGCTGTGTCAAGCCAGGCTGCGAGTGAAAGCACCCCTGCCATCCCATTGATGATGTCGGGCATAGGGACGACCTTTGCCCCGATCACCACTGTAGGATCGATTAGCATGATCCCAATCATGTCAACCCCTACTCCTACGCCGACGACAACAATGTTCCCAGGCTCGATAACAATGCCTGGTGGAGCATTCACGCCATACCCGTCAGCTTGGGCTCAGTTTGCTGCTGACCCGGCAAATGCTCAGGCTCTACAGGGCTATCAACAGGTGATGGCCATGATGCAACAGGCAGGGGGCTTCATGCCATTTGCCTATCCTAGCATGACACCGCCAATCATGCCACCGCCGGTGTCGACCCCGTCGACATTTGTCCCTAGGATGGTCCCTATACGCCCGGTGAATCTGAAGGGGACCATGAATGAAGTAGTGCCCTCAAATGTCCATGAAATTGATGAGGCGGAGCAGGAGGCGGCCCGCAGGAGGAAGGGTAAGGCTATAGCCAAACCCAGCAAGACTCGAGATTCGGCGTTCAAACGCCTAGGGGACAAAGAGGATGGACCCCGCAAGTCTGCCAAGCTACGTCTTGGTCCTGAGATGGGCCGGACTAGCGCAATGGAAAGACTTGGCCGGAGTTGTCACGCCCAATCTCGTCGTTCTAGGGAATCTAAGACGATTCACCAAGACGAGGAGGAAGCAGAAAGCCAGCCGAGGGCGTCGGCATATACCAGGCTCTCATATGATGAGGATGACCTGGACAAGATAGGGAGCGTAGCAAGGAAACTACGTGCCCTGGAGGAAAATGTGGAAGAGAAGGCGGGAGCGAAAAAGCACACCTTGGCTAAATCTCCCTTTTCGGCCAGGGTACATGCACAGAGGTTGAGGCGGAAGATTAAGCTGGACGTGGAGAAATTCACATGAAAGGAGGATCCAAACGTCCACCTTGACACCTTCCACAATGCAGCACAGATGGCCGGGTGCACTGATGCTTCGGAATCCAGGGTTAACCAAATACTTGGAGGACTTCGGGATTACTCACAACAAGGCTTCCGTGGCCTACCCGCAAGGGAATGGCTAGGTGGAGAATGCGAACCGCACAATAGTCGATGGGATCAAAAAGCGGTTGGGTGAGGCAGGAACGAATTGGTTAGAGGAGTTGCCACATATCATCTGGGCTTACCGGGTCACTTCAAGAAGGGCCACAGGGGAGACACCCTTCGTCCTTACATATGGGTGTGAGGCCAGACTACCCATCGAAGCTAAAATAATGACCTTTCGGGAGAAGGTCTCTGAAGAGAAAGGGAATGAGGAAAACCATTTAGCAGAGCTAAACTTGTTGGAAGAGAGGCGGATGGTCGCTGAGGCTAAAATGATGGAATACCAGCAAGCAGCCAAGGCCTACCATGATAACAAGGTAGGGCCTCGTTATTTCCAAGTGGGTGATGAGGTCCTGAGACGAAGGGAGACCAGTAAACCCGGAGACGGGGGAAAATTTGCAAAGAAATGGGAAGGCCCATATAGGGTCACAGCAATATTACGCCCTGGGACATACAAGTTAGAAACAATGGAAGGTCGAGAGTTGGAAAGGTGCTGGAATTCCCACCACCTTAGAAAATTCTACTGATAGGCCAAATTGGCAGGGCATGTATTTGTAATACCCCTTCGATGATAAATAAGAGATTTCTTCGATACTTGTGTTGCTGGGTCAGTAATACTAAAGTAATGTCTTGATGTAAGAGGAAAGGTCAAACAAAAATAAAAAAAATAAAAAAAAGAGATAAACCCTTGAGATAGGGACCTTGATGTTGAGGTATGGCCTTGAGATAGGCTGGGTCTGGAAGAGGACTCGCGTCCATACTTACATGGATTCCTACCAAATTTTCATTTGGATAGGAGCAAAAAGATGCCAAAGTAAAAAAAAATTATCGTCTTGCATGAGCCATCCTTTGCGGATTGAAGGGTCTAGGGAAGACTAGAATTCACTTCAAACGCATAACATATGGACATGTAGGATTGGATGAAGGCTGGTTCTCACCGGCATACCCCCACGTGGGAAGATTGGGTTGGCTAGGTCAACCTAATTATTAGAGAATGGCACATTAAAAAACTTAAAACCTGGAAGAGGGGCCCTGGAAGAAGGGTGTTGCCTGGAAGAGGGCTGAACCTTGGAGAGGGTTCGCGATCATAGGACATGGTCAAAATCTCCGAAGAAAGTTCAAGTCTTGAAGTTGAGACTTGATGATTCCAAAACCGATTCAGATTATTCGTTTGAAATTTGAGCAAGGTTACTGTTAGGCATGACATCCAGGCCAAAGGGGTAAAGGAAAGTGGCATGGTCAAAAGTGACCGGTCACTTCTTGGATGTTCTGGATTGGCAAGAAAAGGCGAATGGGAAAAAGCAAAATTTGACCGGTCAACTTTGAGAAAAGTGACCGGTCACTTTTTTAAGGGTTGGATTTGGAGAAATCAGACCAATCTGGAAAAGTTTAATTTTGACCAGTCATATTTTTGACCCAGCACCTGGACGTAACGGGACCAAACCATTGAAAGTACACCAGGACGAAGTTCAACCTAGACATCTATTACATTTCAACCTGGAAGTTAACCGGATCAAAAGACAATCCAAAAACAGAACTGACCTGGAGGCTTCCAACCTGGAGACCAGGACCTGAGATGACCTGGAAGTTTTCAAGCCTTACATCTAAATTGCTCTTCAACCTTTCAACTTGGCCTACAAAACCAAGACATGAGATGACCTGGCCGTTTGTTGCAGTTCAACCTAGAAGTAAGCCGGCCCATAAGACCAGCCAAACGTGAAGTGCCCTGGACATTTATGGAGTTGATGAAAATAAAGGTTTGAACCTGAACGCTTAAAAAATGTACAAGACCTGGACATTTTCAAGAGATGGAATTGACCAGGACATGAAAAGACCTGGACGCTTTCAACAAAGCCTACCAGACCTAGACATTTTTAAGGCGTTAATCAAAGACCAGGACATGAGATGACCTAGACAACTCCAAAGGGATAAGACCGGTTATTGTTTTTGACTTGGAAGTTAAACCAAGCATGTTCAAGAAAAGGCAAGTCTGACCATGCAACTTCAAGTAAGGACCAAACCAGGAAAACAACCATGCAGGAAAGGATGAGCAAGCGAGAAAAAGGAATCAAACCATGCAAACTGAAAGAAGAAACAAGCCGGTAAATTGAAAACCATGCCAAACAAAAGATAATATTACACAAGTCAGAAGTAGGCCGGACATCCCCCAGGCCTTGGGAAAATTCAAAGTTTTTTCAAACCAAACCCTAACCTATTCTAGGGGAAAGGGGGGAGTTGGCACTTCCTCGTACAAAGCCGGAAGCTTCATCTTGGCCGGGTCAAAGGAAGGGTCCCTCTTCTGAAGTCTGGCATAAAGAAGGGACCTCTCATCCTTCTGCCCACATTGGAAGCCGTATGAACCGATCTCTGTTATCATCCTCTTGCCCTCCGGTTCTTTGTACATGGTCTTGAAGAAATCCATGGTCTCCTCCGGTGCAGTGAGTATAGACCGGGCTACTTCCAAGTGATTGCGCGCAGCCCAGCCAGCAGCTTCAATGGGGAATGCCTCCTCCTTTGACCGGGTAGTTTCTTTGGGTTGGGCCAAAGCATCTTCCAGCTCGGCCACCTTCCTCTTCTCCTCCACCAACTTGGCCCTTTCTTCCTCTAATTTGATCCTTTCCTCCTCTAACCTGGACCTCTCTTCCTTCAACTCTTCCTCAAGCCTCCTCTCCCTTTTTGCCCGGTCATTAATCTCCAACTTAGCAGAATCAAGCAGGAGGTTCAGCTGAGAGACCTGGTCCTTTGGCTCCAGAAGTGATTGGCCAACCTCTTCTGAGATAACCCCGGCCTGCAAATTTGAAAAAAGAGGTTGCATCAGTAAAAGTAAAGGAAAAACGTGAACCGGGAAGAAAACTGGAGATGAAATACCTTGTTGAGTTTTTTGGCCAGGGATAGGAAGGTTTCTTCGATGGATTCCCCCTCCCTATCTGATAACCTGACCTTCTTCTTCTTGTCCCCCTTGGAGCTCTTTTGGGACCCTTTTCTTTTCTGACCCTTAGCATGGGAAGAAGAATGGCCGACCTCCTTAGGCTGGGATTCAACTCGGTCGCCTTCGGAGAAATGGAGGGCTGAGGGTGACTTCACCTGCTTATCTCGAATGAGATCGTCAAAGGAAGAGCACCGGGCAGTTGAAACCCCTTCAACTCCAGGATTTTGAGGAGGGAAAGGATGGTTATTAGTGGAAGACCGGTTGAAGTGGAGGACTTCAACATCATCGTCGTCATCTTCGATGATGGTGGACATCCTGTTGAAGTTCATGTCTGCCAAAAAGAACAAAGCAACAAATGACCGGTTAGTTTTTAAGCCTTGTACATAAATAAAGAAAATGAAAGTAAGAAACTTAAGAGAAGATGATCGACCTGGACGAGGAGAGGAGAACTGGCCTCAGCATGACCATCCGGGGAGTTTGCCCGGTCATCTTCTGCGTCATGGGTCGCAGATTCACCCCCATCCGGGTTAGGTAACCGGTATACCCATCCACCGTAGGCGTATGGCTTACCGGTCACAGGATCACCCTTGAGAAGTTTCTCGCAGGCATCCTCAAGCTCAGGGGTAGGCTCCGGGTGGACCCTTTCAAGTTTTATTACCCGGTCAGCCCACTCAGGGTTAGTGAAAGGAAATTGGTCAAAGGGAAACTCAATAAAAACGAATCTTTGTTTCCATCTCTTATGGCTGGGGGGAAGACCGGTCACAAACCCCCTCTTATTACGGGAATGGAAATAGACGAAGCCCGGGTAGTTACTAGTCCCGGGCAAGACTTCGTACATGTGGAGGAAAAGCTCAAGGGAAGGGTTGATTTTCAGATTTTCACAGATATTAACAAAACAATTTAAGAACCGGTGAGCGTTTGGAGTAAGTTGACCGGGCAAAATATGAAACTTTTTACAGATTTCAATAAGGAGGGGGCGAAGAGGAAAAATAATACCTCCCTCCAGAGAAGCAACATGGAAACCCAACCGGGTTCCCTGGTGGGGTTCAATGATGTTGGGTCAGGTGGTTTTGGAAAGGACTTTGTAGCCCGGTGGGAGGATGGTACGGACCTCGGCCAGAACCTTTTTTGTGACCCTACTAGACTCTTTGAAAACCGGTCTGACATCAAGGGCTAGGAAGCCCAAGGATCCATTGCTCATAGCTGAGGACCTTGGGATTGAATTTACCAGGCAGTTGATTCAAAGGGACAGGCTCTTGGGCAATTATTTCCCGGGCCTGAGGGTTAGACTGTTGGGAGGGGCGACGGATCAAAGGAGTAGGAGGAGGAGAAGAAGATTTAGAGTGGGAAGAGGAAGAGGGCTGAGAACCTGATCCATAAGACTTACCGGACACATTTTGGCTATCGGAGGACGACATGACTCTAGCGTACCGGTCAAAAATAGAAAGATGAAAGAAATAAAAGACTAGGAGGACTGGAGGACTTACTTGGCAGAAGGCTAGAGAGAGGAAGTAGACCGGTCGAAACAAGAGAGACGAAGAAGTGAAGTGAGAAAATGGAGTGGGTTGGAGGAGTATTTATAGGAGAGAGAGAGGCGGTTTGGAACTCGAGGCGACAGGTGGGAGACCGAGGGCGTGACACGTGGAAGGGTAATGATGAAGGAGGATTTTTTGAATTTTGAATTTGAGGGTGAAAGGTTTTGGGGGGAAATTCCAAAAACTGAAAGGTCAGGGCCAACGTTTGGACTTCCACTAACCCAAATGGACAGGTCATGCAGCGTATTCCACAAATCCAAAAGTGCCAGGTCTGATATGAAGACGATGAATCCAAGAAATGGGCAGGTCTCTATAGAAAGGTCATGGGAATGGCTTGACAATTTAAAAAAGGGACAGGTCAACGAGAATGACTTGATGATTCCAGAAGAAAACAGGTCTGAACGAAAAGGTCTGATAATTCTAAAAGGACAGGTCAACGAGAATGACTTGATGATTTCAAAGAAGGAAAGGTCATGGGAATGACTTGATGCTTTCAAAGAAGGACAGGTCATGGGGATGACTTGATGATTTCAAAGGAAAGGTCATGGAATGACTTGATGATTTCAAAGAAGGACAGGTCATGGGAATGACTTGATGATTTCAAAGAAGGATAGGTCATGGGAATGACTTGATTATTTCAAAGAAGGACAGGTCATCTGAATGACTTGATTATTTCAAAGAAGGACAGGTCATAGGAATGACTTGATGATTTCAAAAGTGATAGATCAACATAAATATACTTCCCGCCCTTGATGACTTCCTCACAAGGCCGGTAAGTGGAGGACTTCTTGATGGGTATATCCTTGTACCCGACCCGGATAACCGAAAGGGACAGGTCAAATATGACCGGTCACTTTTATCAATCACCAAATGAGGTTAACTCTTCGATTGGGACGGGTCAACTTTTGACCGGTCACTTCCACTAAAAAAGTGACCGGTCACATTTTGGGCGTTAGCCAATTCGTCACTTCATGTTGCGAAGGATAGTCCAGAGGACCAAAGAGACGGGTC